GCTCTGTAATTTCTTAAGTTCTTCAGTTACATGTTTTCTCTTTCTTTTTTATTTAATTGGTGTTGCTTTTCGAAATTGATTGTTTCTCAAATTCCTTGTAATTTCTTAAGTTCTTCAGTTATGTGATTTTCTCTTTCTTTTTTATTTAATTGGTGTTGCTTTTTGAAATTGATTGTTTCTCAAATTCCTATTAATTTTTTCCTTTTCCATCCAATTTTTTAATTAAAAACCTCTATAGCTTTGTATTTGCGTTTAACACTATATTTCTAGTTTCTAATATGCTTTGATTTATTTCCCTTTTTTTTTTTTTATGATTTTATTCGCAGCTTATTTACCTAATCTTAGTTGGTCTCTCATAATTTATGTTCGGGTCATACTTGATACTTCCTCCTTTATATGATCCTCCAGAAGTAATTTTTGCTTGAGAACTTTGTATTTAATTGAGTTGTTCACTATTGCAGCATTACTCTTCAGTTTCTCACTCAAAGTCGGTGCAAAGGGGAATAGCTTTTGGGAGTAGAAGACGCATGGCAGTTAGGGCATCGTTAAATTCTGATTCAGATGAGCCTGCTGCTCCAATTGCTCCGCTTCAACTAGAGTCACCAGTTGGGCAGTTTTTGTCTCAAATCTTAGTCAGCCACCCCCATCTTGTGCCTGCAGCAGTTGAGCAGCAGCTTGAACAGCTTCAAACTGACCGTGATTCTGAGCAGAAGAAGGAAGAGCCTTCTGCATCTGGCACAGACTTAGTTTTATACAGGTTGGTTGTAAAGTGTTAATCAGGATCTTTAATTGGAGAGAAAACTGATATTCATGGATAATTTATAATTTTATTGCAGGAGAATTGCTGAGGTGAAAGCTAATGAACGGAAAAAGGCTTTAGAAGAGATTTTGTATGCTTTAGTTGTACAAAAGTTTATGGATGCCAATGTTCCTTTGATACCAGCCATAGCACCCTCTTCTTCAGACCCTTCTGGTCGTGTGGACTTGTGGCCAAGCCTAGATGAGAAGCTTGAGCAGCTTCACTCACCTGAAGCCTATGAGATGATCCAGAACCACCTAGCTCTGATTCTTGGAAACCGTTTGGGTGATGGCACCTCTGTAGCGCAGATAAGCAAACTCAGAGTTGGACAGGTATATGCTGCTTCAGTGATGTATGGGTACTTCCTCAAGCGAGTTGACCAAAGATTTCAGCTTGAGAAGACTATGAAAGTTCTTCCAAATGTATCAGATGAAGAAAGTAATGTTGAGCAAGCTGTGGGTGAGGGCACAGGACCCACTGTTGCAAGAGACTCCTACGAATCTGTTTCCTCACACCCTGAAGTCTCATCCTGGTCTGGTGGCATGAGTAATGGGGGCATTGGTCATGGGTTAAAGCCCTCTAGATTACGGACTTATGTGATGTCCTTTGATGGGGAGACACTGCAGAGATATGCAACAATCAGATCAAAAGAGGCTGTTAGCATTATTGAAAAGCACACTGAGGCATTGTTTGGAAGGCCAGAGGTTGTCATGACACCTAGGGGAACTGTAGATTCTTCCAATGATGAGCTTATCAAGATTAGCTTTGGCGGTCTGAAGAGACTTGTTTTGGAAGCTGTGACATTCGGTTCTTTTCTTTGGGATGTTGAAAGCTATGTGGATTCAAGGTATCATTTTGTTATGAACTGAGCTATTGCTATTTTAATTTTTGTTCCTGCCACAGCAAACTTTCTAGCGTGGCCAAACTGACCAAACTTCTATGGCAAAATTGAGTGTAAATTTGGTAATATGTACTGAAGAATTTGTTCTTTGTTCTGTATATGGTTTACAGTTTTTCTGCCGGAATTTGCTTTTCATACATGAGTAAGGATCCCTTTACACACAAGTTTTACACGTTATACTTAAACAACTTAAACAAAATCTTGACCATTTATCTCTTCATTTTTAATAATTGAAATCTATTCACTTTTTATCTTATTTATTAAAGATAATTATTTTTTTATTTAAAAGGTCATGATAAATCTCAACCATGAAAAGTGGAGAGATAAGTGACTAAGATTTTGTATAAGCATATTGTGTAAAAATTGTGTTAGTGGATTTCTTCTCTTCATTCGTATTATTTCTTTGTGAAATTTGTTGTCTCATTTACTTTTGAACCATTATTTGCGTGCTATGTGTGTTGGATCTCTAAGTCATACATTCTAGTGCTATCTCTTTTTGTATCATTTTGGAGGCTAAAGGGGAGTTAGGATCACAACATTAAATCTCTTTAGGTGTAACTTGACTGAGTAATGGTGTCACAATGATCCTAAATGGATGGGGTCATCTGTT